TTACTGTATTCGTATTTGAAGAATATGTGATTAAAATCTAGTGAAGAGGGATTTCATCTGTTTATTTTTTTCATCGTCAAGTGAACGCTCAACGTTTTTGAAAAAGAAAAAAAAAAAAATGGATCAGCAGACGTTTTTAAAAGGAAAACAATTCTTTTAATTTGTCTCGACATTTCTCAAGTGATTGTGATTCTAAAAATTGAAATTTCTTGCTGTTATGATGCTAGTGATGATTATTTGTGAAATTTTTAATTGGAACAATTTGAATCGAAAAATATGTCGGGTGTTTTATGCTAGGGTTTGTCTTCCATAAAAATTGGACGCTTTATACAAGCTGTTGAGAAGAAGCAATTAGTTACAAATTATTTTACATAAACTAGTTAACGTTTTTATTGAATTACAGATTTCAGACACATCGTGGATGCAAAAGGAGAAAATGTTTGTTTTTTTGTGTGTTAAACTTTTTCGATTACAACTAACGTTAGTGCTATTTATTGTCTTTAATTCTAAACGAAAAAAAAGTATTGATTGTTACTTGTAAGAGGTGTCTTGGTGGTTTTCAAAGCAAAAAAACTGGCTAACGAGGTGAACATATTGATTAGTATTGTGAAACAGGTTTCGAGCCGAAATAAAGTTGATAGGTTGTTGTAGTTTAAGAAGAAAAGAAAAGTAACCAGTTGGGGGAGCACACTGATATTCATCGAATAATTTGGTTCAGGACTGTTTTTTGTTGCTGTTGTCATTGTTGTCACAGATTATTAAGAATTTACTGCTCATATTTTTGCTAAAAAATTTATTCTAATTATCTTTCTACAAGAATAAGATTTTTTGTCAGCTCTTGCCAGATTTGAAATCTGTAGCTTTGCAGAGATTTGTAGCACATATTTCTAATAGACCTGAATCTAAATTTTTCTCAAAAAATGTGCTTAGATTCAAGTTCATTAGGAAACTGTATCTTTCACTGATGACAACAACAATGACAACAACAACTTAAAAATTTTTGAAAGCAAATTCAAATTCATCAAAACTTTCAATTTGATTTTTTTTAGAGAGTTTTATAGTGGTCAATTCAAATATACTTAGTAAATGCTATATGTTTTGAACAAACATTAGATATATGTTCCCCGGTGCTGTCAAAGGAGTTTTATTGGGAATGTTATCACTTGATTTTTGATGGCCTTAAAACCCAGAATACATTGGTGTTCTTTACGAAGCATTTTACTGACAGTATTTTTATGCTTTTTTTTGTACTGTAGTTTATAGTTTTATTTTATTATGCTGTTTTTTTTTTTTCTATTTTTAGATATAACGTTAAAATAAGGCCTTTTATTGCCTGGAAAAAAGTTGTTTTTGACATTTTTTCCCACTTTTTATCTGCATAGGTTAAGTAGCACCTAACTATATAATCAAGAAGCCACCTCCTATGGCGAGTTAAAATGATGACGTTATTGTTGGGTTAAGGGGTTAGTTCAAGGACCATCTTGGCTGTATGTCAATGAACAAGCATGAAAATAGATTTGGGAAGATTGATGCTTCTGATGCGTAATGTTGTAGAAGCAGAGTAAAAACTATAGAACAGTTATTACATTTCTGTAAAGGTTGGTTTATTAGTGAGGTTACTTCGTTAGTTAGTGATTGCTGTTTTTTCCATCTTATCAACAAGTTTTTTTTTGGCTAACTGACTAATTAGCTAGTGAGTTTTGCAAAAATCGTACTAAAAAGGTGCCACATGGGATTTTCAGTGCGATAATCAATAAAATATGCTTTTTTCATTTGATCTTTTATACTGCTTCTATATTATTGTTTGCTGCTGAAGGAGAACATTCTGGTAGAAAAGTTTTTTACTAATACGGTGCGGGAGTCGTGCAGTTAAAAAGATAATTAACTACCTGTTTTTTTTTTTTTTTTAATAATGATTATTTCCATCCTTTGACGTTTGTCAGTTATTGATTAAATTTTATGTTTGAACTAAATATAAGTAGGAGAGGTGAATGAAAGAAAAAAATGTTATTTATAAAGCTTGAAATGGTGCGTTGGTTTTTTTCTTCATGGAGAAAGGACATATCACTTATTTGGAACTATGTTAATCAGGTCTTACATTTATTTTTCAGGATGAGAAGAGTGGAGGCGGGGGGGAGAATAAGGGAGAGTTATTAATCAATATCAAGAGGTTTATAATTTCATTGAGATTAACGTCGTTTAGTGATGCTGAGTAGCCAGTGAATTGAGCTAAAGTCTTAGACTCCAGCATTGGACAGCTATCATAGCTGACTCTGGGGGATTTGTGAAAAAGCCATGGGCAGAAGAGTTAGGTTTTTCTGATTGCCCATATTTATTCATTTATTCATTTAGTTGGGCCGGACTTAGCTTAGGCAACGCATTGGTTGAGCACTGCCGAGCTGAGAATAACATGATGGTGGCGACGAAGAAGAGGCGAAGGATCCATTGCGAATTAGCTGCTGATTGATGCTGCCGGATCTTTGAGAGTTGAAACTTGAGAGTTGCGTGGTTATTGTTGAGGTTGCTCTGCTACAGCAGCATCCGCTTTGTTCATTAAGACAAGAAATTCATCTTTCTTCTACTTTTGCCTTTGCCATCCTCTCCATCTATCCGTCGTTAAAAGATATCATGTTTCTTGTCAAACTTACGTTCGGTTTCAGTTTATTTTTTGATGAGTTGTTACATAAACACATAACGGCAGCCGGCGGAGTCGGCAGGCACAAACACAAATACGCACAGAGAAGCCAAAAACTGTGACAAGCAAAAAGTCGACTTGTCTCTTCTAAGTGGCTATAAATAAATGAGTAAATATATATTTTTTCTTCCGCAAAGCCTTTGTAATGGAACTATTAGTCTTTGAAATTGAATATGATTTTTTAAGAGTTTTTTTAGCAAGAAATGACATATGAAAATGAAAGAAAAAAGATAAAAAATTTTTGCTCTTTTAAAGTGTTGGCTAAATGGATGAAATGAATATAGAATTATTATTTCTGCTATCTCTCTCCTCCTTCATTCTCTCTTTGATTTCTTTAGATTACTTTTGTTTTTAGAATTTAGAATTCTAATAAATAGTAAAGGGAGGCCAGGAAAAAAGTGGAAAAAAGTTTTTTATGCATTCTAAAGGGCTGTAGAGCAATAATTTTTTTTGCTCATTTTCAATTAAAAAAAGAAAAAATGAGAAAAAATTTGATTTCCAAAAAACTTGAACTTTTTTCAAATGACTTTTTCTCATCCTTTTTTTTGCGTGTGTGTGCGTGTATAACTTTTCAGATTATATTAGTTTTTTTTTGTTACTGCCTTCAAAAAAAAAGATTTTTTTATTGTTATAATTCCCATTTTTTTTGCGATGTAAAAGAAAGCGATGAATTTATTGCCGTTGTTGAAATGCGCGGTAATGTTCCTTGTGAGCAATTAGCAGTGGAAAAAAAACCGTATTTGTATGATGGAGTTTTTTAGTTTTTTCCATCATTAGTTTTTTCTTTTTTTTTTTTTTTATTATTTTTTCTTATACAAAAAAAAGGAAAAATTTATCACATAAATTGAAATGTTGTTGAATTTTTTTTTCCGCCATTGAGGCGAACAAATTTTATCGTTGATGGACAGTAGTAACAGCAAATACAGCAGCAACAGTTACAGCAACAAATCATCAGCAATATTAATGACGTGGATCGTTGTTGAGTTATTGCCGTGTATCGATAAAGTATTGTTACGTAATCGTTCAAATACTGAACAGAAACTTTTGGAGCTTTTTTTTTTT